CCAGATGAGTAGGTCGACCTTGCCAGATCAAGGGTGCCCTCGTGTCCTGTGGCTTGCGACCCATGCCTCCTGCATTTCTGTGGCAGCGTGGCCCTTGGAAGGGTCTTGTGTCCTCTCGCGCGTCCTCTCCAATCAAGTCCGACTGTAGTCCAGGAGGGTGTTGAGTCCAGATTGGCTTCGCCCAGGGTCGCTGACCAGAAGCTCGGGGCCCCGAGTTGGTCCAGGAGGGCGTTGGCGCCAAGCTTCTGGCGAGCGAGGCTGGGCGAGGGGAGTCAGTCGGGCCTGTCCCTCTACTGGAGGACTACTCAAAAATACTCAATCAAGTAGTTGAGCTATTGATTGATTACCTAACGATGATGTTTGAATCTTGGTTGGCCATTTTTGATTGTTCGTCCGAAATCCGCCTGTAGTGGGACATGCCCGACCTGAAGCGAGTCTGGGCGAAGCGAGTCTGGGCGAAGCGAGCCTGGGCGACGGCAGTCTGGGCGAAGCGAGTCTGGGCGAAGCGAGCCTGGGCGAAGCGAGACTCGGGCGGAGCGGGTCTGTGCCCGGAGGGGCCCTGAGATCCAGGTGTTGCAATTTGTTCACACAGGCCGTGTTCGCTTGGCTTCGGGCATCGGGACCACCGCGGATCGGTCCGGCTCGAAAAGTGTAGGGTGGGGGCCCATGCCAGGAAGCACCTTGCTTGCCTCCAGGGTGCCATGGCTTTTTCGGGGCTCCATAGTTTTGCGATGGAAAGCGCCACGTTCCCACGCCAAAACTCTATGGACGTCTGGGGTTTCATGGTTGGGTTTTTGTGCAAGGTTTCTTGTGGACTGGCCTCCATAGTAGGGGAAAGATGGGGTCTAGGGCTCCAGTCGTGATTTCTCGCTAGGTCGCAATGTCTTCGCAACGTCCGATGCCAGGGAGGGTCGGAGGGGGGGGCCGTCGGATACACCGGGAGTCCTGTGCGACTGGCAGGAGCCTTTCCCGGCCGTCGCTCCAGCGGGACCTGCCGGGCCGCACAGGCCCTCCGTACACGAAGCCGTCGTTCTCCTGACGGTGGGTCGGGCAGTAGCTTTAAGTCGGGCTTGTCCCTCTACGGGATATATATATATATATATGTATATATATATATATATATATATATATATTCAAAAACAGTAGGGAAAATAGTGTGGGGAGGATTGTTTGACCCTTTTTGAACTTGTTGATGGGTCCTTTTTTACTTATTCTTTTTGTTCGTTCAACATCCCCCTGTAGGGGGGCAGGCCCGACTTAGCTGTAGCTTTCGTCGGCAAGCTTGTCGGCGCAGCTGGCTTCTGTTCCTTCCTCCTTCCCCCGCTCATTCCTCCCTCTGCAGCGTCGCGGCCTTGCGCGACCCCCGCGGCCTGGGTCAAGGGCTGCCGCCCGCAGGCCGTGGGGGTGGACAGCACGTGCCGTGAGCGCAGATCTCATCTTCCAGGTTTCATTGCCGCGGGGCGCTGCTGATTCGCAACGAGGACCCAGCTCAACACCGGACGGTACGCATGTCCATTGTGCTTATGGGACCTTCAGGCTACTGCTGGAGAATGGGTTCCATACGAGTGCGATTGAAGATTTAGGCTTTGCAGATCATGCGAATGCGATGCTGTCACTGGTCTGAAGTTCGACCGTCCGAGTCGTTTACCGAGCGGCTCGTGCTTACAGGTGGCAACCACCAACGCGCGCATTCCCGCCAATCTGTGGAAATGCACGCGCCAAGTCTCGGGGAAACCTGCTCAACAAGCAGAGCATCAGTGAGATTGGCACGGCCAAGGCGCCCAGAGGGCGGAATGGCGAAATTAACCGACCGCTTTCACGACTGCAAGGCTGATTGTCCAAATAGACCATCATAAAACACAGAGATCATGTATGCGCTGTACACTTCAGCGTGCACATTCGAGTGGATACAGGAGTTCGGACCTACGTCGAGTCTCCTCAGAATGGCCCTCAATGGGGCCATGTGGCACGCCAGGTGACGATAACCTTGACGACAATATGATCACACAGGTCATCATGGTTCAAGATCAACCACCGGGTACAAGTACAATGCACCGTTACTAAACGGCGCGACGAACATTCGTACTCGACTGTATTGGGAGCCTCCGGCGCCAGTCTTATTCGGAAACGAGGGACAGCGACCACGTTCAAGGCGGGTTACGACCGTCGATGACGATCGTCTTCCATTCCCCTCGATTGAGCGTGGCCGCGCGCTACCTCCTATTCCCGAATTCCAAAGACTTATTTTACCCGATGCCCGGATAAAGTAAAAAGAAAACAAAAGGTTGACACATAAGCCCACATCAAACTACAGAAGATACCCAAGATGGTCGAAGACGGCGACCGCGGCGAGGACCTGAATGGCCTCGGGTGTGGATCATACTACACTGACGTTCCCCTGGACACCGACAGCGACGGAGACGAAGAAACCTTCATTACACTACCAGCGGGGCTACCTGCGGATACACATGCTGATGTGTTCTCCATGATCCCAACTCTG